ACACTAGGGCGTCCGTAGTGTAGGATAAGCACTGGTAAAAAGGATGTAAAAGGTATCAGGAATAGAGTGTCTTGAGGAAATAGCCTGTGTATGGTTATAGCAAGCCTTGGGAGTAAATTTACCACCCGCTTATGCATGCACTAGGTTAGAAATAGGGTAAACAACTTGTAAGGGTGAAGTACAAGTCCTATGCAGCAAGCAGCAGCCAGCAGCAGAAGCAGCCGCCTGCAGCCAGCAGCCAGCAGCAACCGCCAAGCAGCCAGCCAGCAGCACCACGCAGCAGCAGCGCAGCACCAAGCCGCAGCAGCAGCAGCAGCAGCAGCAGCAGCACCACCGGCAGCAAGCAGCAAGCAGCATCGTCAGCAACAGCAGCAGCAGCACCAAGCCGCAACAAGTAGCAAAGCATGAACTACCTCAAATGATCTCAAATATACACGCAACTCATTATCATTATACCTATCAGTTTGTTAACTTCTGCATTGAATGAGCCACTCGAACCAGCAAAACGACGCCAACCCTGGACGGAGGCTGAAGGAACGACGTAGCATGGAGGTGAAATGGAGCGTGCTCACCGTAGGACATGCCTTGACCAAGGATTGTAGATGCAAACAATTGCACAAACATATGCACACCTTGCCGCTGTCTGAACACCAGCAGAGCTATCACGCAATTCATTCAGTGGAATGGTGGTATGCACCACAACAATAAGCGAAGCGGCGCAGCTGGGAGTTGAACCGCGGGGGGGGGGGGTTAGCTTGATATATCAATCTTTAAGGCACGCAGCCCCTCCCACCACAACATTGCTAAAGCAAAGAAGAACTCAGCTAGCATGCTAGCTTTCGTGATGTGGTGAAAGGTGGGTTCCTGATTCCAGTGACATCGGAAAGAACAACAAAACATTGAAGTCTCCCTAATTCATGGCTGAATTGTGGGCATTTACCCTTAGATGGTTTCACATTCGTCCAGGAGTACAAGAATCCTGACCTGCAAAAACAGTAGAGGAAATATGAGGAAATCGTTTCTTTTTATTCAATTCTTTCAGGCAACCTCCAACACAGGAGGGGCAACCTGAAGCACTACTGTATACTACTGTAATAACATTTAGTGGCAGCGACTTCAAGAAACTCATCATCAACAATCTGAACTTCACCAGGCCTTCCTCAACAGCCCGAAGGACTCTTGGAGCACGATCCGGCGCTCGCGTTGCCTGTCTCGGCTTGCTTGGCTGCCAGTGATCATCAGTGATCCACTTGCTGATCTTCAAGAATGATCCAACGTTCACTGGAGTGAAAAGGGTCCACAGGACATCCCCTCCTGCTCCTTCTTTCCTGCCACCCACTCAATTGTGCTGAGCACCATCTCTCCCCAAGCTGGCCTCTTTGGACATCGCGCCAAGGAATCCCAGCGTGCACTTTGGCACGCTAAAAGCTCGGCCTAAAAATGATGTCCACAGCACAAGGACATCCATATATATATATGCCTTCGAATCTGGAGCTTACTGGACATGGTAGACTGTAGACACGATAGCAGCCTAAACACCGTCAAGTTCCTTCTCGTTGAAGGCACACGGGAAGAACCGCCACCAAGGGCTCCCGGCCACTGCTCGGCTGCATGACCATCCACAATGCAAGACCTGCCACAAAGGCGGCATGTTGCAACGCAAGGCTTGGGTGACTGATGTGGACATAGACATACACAAGTAGCGTAATGGTTGGGAGTGGGGAACTTGCATGATATGGCTTCAGGGTGCCCTGTTGGATATGGACAAGGCTCCCTGTCCATCCATCGAGGAGGCATGCAGGAAGCCCCTCCTACGAGTACCGGGATGATTCCATGGATCCCTACCTCACGCGAGTGCCATGGGTGCCTGGCACAAGGCCCAGGCCATCGCGGTCGCAGCCAAAAGGAGGTTTTCATGGTGTCGACGAGCCTCGGTACCATGCCATCTATTTCTGTTCAAGGGGCATTTGATGCAACGCCATGGAAGTGGTGACAGGGGGAAGGCCGGGGAGAATAAGGGTAAAAAAGACATCCTGGTAGCATGATGTAGAATGGATGAGTCCGCTCTCGATCCCCTGGTAGGCTATAAGACTTATTCAAAGTGAGTACAGCAAAGTAGCAGAAAAGGCAAGCAGTGTGTTGCTCATGCACAAAGAACACAAATCATCCATGCCTGCGCAGTACACGGATGAAGGGCAGTAGCACACCCAAGCGTTATTGCCTCTGTGGCGTCCGTGTAGAGGTCATCGACCCAGGCCAGGTCATCGCATCTATGTACAATGTGCCTCCTTTGTGGCAGCCACGGTGCTTGCTGAGCTTCTGCTCAGCTCAGGGTGGGTCCAGTAGAGATCGATAGAGATCCCAAATTCAGATCTCCCAATGTCCGAAAGCACATCTGCGTCCAAAGGCCTTCTGTTCACAAATGTAGTCAATAGAAGGCAGTCCGAAAGTCATCCTCCAGAATCCACCTGACTGACCTTCTTGAACAGGTCCCTGTTGGACCCAGCTGCCGGAATCAGGTGCCGCAAGAATCACTTTCTCCTGTTGAAGACTATGCCCACCTGGCGACGGCGTAATCAGTCTCTCTCTCTCTCTCTACCGATTGAATTGTTCAATCAACGCAAGAACAAGAGCATGCTCTTCCATTCTCTTTCCAATGCCAGGCTCACATTTCGACATCTTTGGGTAGGTGTCCACATGTGCACGCCTAATGAAGGTATCCAAATGCCAGCTCGATAAAGGACACCAGTCACCAGCGGCAACACATGCTGCCAGGGCACTGAAAAACGTTCGCCCTTCACCTCTCTAACCTCATGGGGTGCAAGGGCAGTAGTCAATCGCTCCGCAAACACGCATGCCATGCAATTAGCTGCTGATGGCTTCTATGGATGGGTGATGGTCCAATTGGGGATGGCCCGTGCCTGGCGGGGCTTGAATAGTCAGCAATTTCACCTGCTCTGTGCTCCATGAGCCAACTGGCAGTTCCACAAGTGGCCAACAGGAGTGCGTGCTCTTCGGTCCATCTAGTGTAATTATTAATGCAAGGCAAGCACAATTCCAAACACACCCTCGCTGAGATCAACGGAGCCATCGAACTCCTTTGTTTCTCTGGTGAGGAAGCTCAACAGTTCTGGTCTCCTAACGTGTCCAAACCGTCCAAACTGAACCCCAATGTGATCCCACCATCACTCTTACCAGCCCCTCCCACCGACATCAGCCGCCGCTTCCCTCCCTCCACCCACCCCAAGCGACGCCGTGCTTGAAGTCGGCGCCGCGCACGGCCGCGCTGTTGGCCGCGAAGAGCGTCACGTCGCCCTGGTCGGCGGCGACCTGGGCGACCTGACCGGAGCTTTGCGGCTTCTTGGAGCATCCGGAGGAAATGCGTGGAAAGGGCAGAATGAAAATGGAACAAGTTCCAATCACGGGGCAAATTCATTGGAGGATCAAAGTTCAAAGCTTGTAATAGTATATAAGTAGTAACACGTAATAACTCTATACTAATGCCATGCAGGTTACTACTAAGTATAAGTAGTCCGATCACTTATATACACCTTGCGCCCTTAATTTGACTGCCTGGGTGGTGATCTTCTCCGCCATCAATGCACATGCAGGTTTGACCACACCAAAGGCTTCTACTGCGGCTGCAGTGACACGCCTTGCCGGTCTTCATGTTCTTCACAAAGAACTCGCCTCCGTTGAAGTCTTTTCCTGTAGCTGTGGAGCTGGACTGCAGTAAAGGAAGCGAGCCACATGGTCTGATGTTCATGAAAGACCTCCAAGTTCCACATCATCGTTAAACAGAAGGTACATTCTTTTCATACCCAATAGTTTGCCACTTCAGGTGTCCAGGTGTCAATATATACTACACGCGTGAAGCCAAAGCCGAGGCACCCCGTCGGCTGAGCATCAGCATCGCCTGGTAAGGGAAGAAGAGCTTTCCGTAGGGATCCTCACAGCACACCCGACCTTGCCACACAACCTTGCTGGAAAGGGAATAGGACGTCAGTGTTATTCAATCTGACATCCAAATTGATCATACCAGGTGCCCTGGCTTTTTAGGTATCATGTGGCATCATTGAACCCATTTCACAAGGGTGCCCCAAGAAAGAAATAGCCAAACCGGCCCAACGTCAAATCCACAACAATGGCATCCAATGTTTCCCATCATCCAGCACTTCCAACTGTCTGCTCTGCCTCCCACGCCACACTACAGGTTTGTCCTGATGTGCCAAATTCAGCCCACCCTGGAGAAGGGGGTAGCAACACTCTGCAAAACCAGGCAGGACCTACGTAAGACACTGTGTTGATGGGCCAAAGCTGGGGTGGCTGAGAATTTGAAGACTACCTGAGCGGACCTGCGGGAACCTTTTGATCTTCCTACGTTTTCAGAATGCAGCAAATGCAGATAGATTCAATAAATTCAATTTCATGGCGAACAAGAAGATACTTGCGAGGCCATGCTGGGATCCATGTCTACAATCTACTCATGGACTCATGGCGCTTCAAGTCTTCAAATTCCAGGCATGTTAGCGAAATTGTTGAATGGTTGAGCCTGCAATGCTGATGCTCGATAGTTCCTTATCATCCTTCCCACTCGAGGCCTCTCCAAAGGCCAAGAAAATGGTGGCACATCGCTTCCTCAGCTGGTCACCCGCAGGAGGGCATCATCCACCCAACCTATTGCAATGAACCCCCACCAAAATAAGAACTAAGAACGACAGAACTGACTCCAAACCCAAAGCCACAACGTGCCATGCACCAACCCACCAAAGTAAGAACTCACCACCGATGTGCCCCTTGTAGCACTGACTCCGCACCCATAGCATCCCATAGCCATAGCCCAAATCCGAACAAGCATTGAAAAAGGCCACCACCTCCTACCCCGAACCCACTCAGTGCCTTACTCCACCCCACCCACCGGTGCTCTCCGAGTCGCTGCCCCGCCTCCGCGCAGCGCCGCTCCAGCTGCGCCATCGTGGCGCCGTAGCGCTCGCCGAGCTCCGGTAGCTGCTCCAGCAGCTGCGCCTTGGACCGAGTCCGGAGACGTCGGAGGCGTCGCACGTCACGTGGCGTGGACGGCCCAAAGCCACGAGGCCAAGGTAGAAAGAGAAGTGACGAAAAGGATTCATGGTTGGATAGAAAATGGTTGGAACAAACATATGTAATTGCAGTAATGAAAATTGTATACAGTAATATTAATATATATATATATAATATTGTGTAAAACAATATTCTAATAATATGCAATGGATGGCTGGTGAAACAGGGTAAACCTTCAAGTTTAGAGATGGTGGTGAGTTAGGGATCTGGCCGGATTTGTGTCGCCTATTTGAACGTTTGCATGATGACTCGAAATGATGTCAGCCTTCCCCACTCCTTCCCTTGCCTACAAAATTTGGTTGAGGTTTCCATATGCACCATCCTGAAATGACTCAAATCATAGTACCCAAGTATGCTCTTTCCATAAGGTTCTACCAGGGAACTGCCAGGGCCAAAATCCCACCAGTGTCGGCTCCGAATAATGCACCACATGAGCCCAGTGAGCTCGTCTCCGTCCTTCGCCATACCGCCGGCGGTCAAGCGGCATAGAGCGATGTTCGGATGGCCTCTACGAGGTGTGGAGGCTGCTTGCAGAAATAGTAGGCACCACCTTGGCCAGCCTGGTGCGAATGGCGATGAAGTCTGGTTTGGGCGGGCTGGTTGGCATCCATCCCGGCACATGTCTGCAGGCCCCAGGTCATCCAAAACATCTCATCACAACACCCCCGCAAGCACCTCGCCATCCAGCCGCCGTACTTCATCAAAAGCATTGGCCTCTTCCGCGTATTGCAGCAGCTGGGCACACTCCTTCCGTGCCAAGAGCAAAGTGTGGCGGATAGTGAATAAGCCCAAACACCCCAGAAATAACTACTTCACACACTTTCCACTTCTCACATCCTTTGTCCATCATGCAAACTGACGGAGCTCTAGCCTGCTTCAAAGACTCAACTCTGCCTGACATGAAACAGCGCTTCTCTTCACTCCACGCCTGCGGCTGTCCAATCTCTACAGTACGCTTTTCACCCAACCCCGATTCACTGGCGTGTGGAGCAAGAGCAAGGCCACTGCAAGAGCAAGGTAATCCCCACACCTTCCAAAGAGAGCCACATAGAATCTGAATAGTCACGGCTACAGAGGCTCACGGGTTGAATTCGGTAGGTTTGTATATCCCCAACTTCTTAGGGTCAATGTCAATGTCTGCAGTCTACAGCTACATGCTACCTATACTGTACACTCCATTCCGCTCCCTGTGCGCACTATCGGCACCATCAATATAGCAGAAGCTTCGATTCGCGTTTAGACCCAACCGCTAGAAATTGGATGTGCAGTCTTGAGAATGCAATCAGACTTGCCTGACTTCTTTGGACATGCCCTGCCCACCCATTTCAGGCTGTTTCTCTGGCCTATCGCAGGTTCACACCGCCCAGGAAGGTCGGGTGCTGTGGCACCAAACGGCCTGATGGGCAGTGTCATGGGATCCAAATGGTTCCAGTCTTGAGGTCTGATGATGCAAAACGCCAACGTGCGTTAAGAAGGGCACATGTGGTTTTTGTTTTATAAAGCAGTTGATTGTTTGTATTGCTTTGGATCTAGAATCACGGACAGGGTAATGCAAACCTACAACAATAACATAATCTTACAAACTAGCAAGCTCGGCTAGCAACACATGCGGCGTTCTCACAAGGTACAGGTACTTCAACCAGTCCCTTTAACATCCTGGGAATTGGACCTCTGCTCCAGCATAATGGTAGAGCTTGACAGCGGAAGGGGCATAGATCACAGTAACCTGCAGGAAATGCATAGGACAAACAGATACAAACAGTTTTGGACTTCAGAATCATTATGTTGATTCTGCGGGCTATGATCACCGGAGGGTGCAAGTCGTGCAAGTGCCCACTAGAATCGAAGTCAGCAAACGCACGCTTCATCGACCCTGGCGTGGTGGGTTGACAACACCTCACAGCTGCAAGAACTCACAAGAACACAAAGCTGGATGTATACGACTTTTTCGACTCAATCCATGCAGTTGTTTGATGTTTGTAGATGGTCCGTGCACATTTCAAAATCTTGGCTCAATGCTGAAGGCAACACCCTCAGTTCTCTCGGCACAGCCGTCCACTGAGAGTTGTCTCACACTCAATCTTCATCATCCTTCATCCTGCGATATCCTGCGGCATGTCAATCTGCCACACGTGCGGCACTTGACGGCATCTAGCGGCTCCGTGCCATCTGTGCCAGGTTAGAGGTCAAACCTGGCAAACCTGCCATCCTGGTGATGCCATTGGTGATGCCATTGGTGATGCCACCTGCTGGCGCTTTGAAAGTACTCATCGGAGGTGGCAGCCGAGCTCCGCGACACCCAGCACCACCTGCACCGCGCTTTGCGGCCGAAGACGCAGGGAGCTGCGTGAGCTTCCCAGCTGCCCAGGCAATGCCGAGGAAGGGTGCCACACTTCGCACTCTGCGAGGCTGTTTGGAGGCCAAGCACTGTCTGGTAGTGACTCCTTTAGTCTGCCTGTTTCCATCCTGGTTCAAGGAATGAACGTCTGAAGATGCGGCTGTCTGCACAGGGACCCGTGGTCTTTCCCATAAGACTTTGGAGCAAAAGGCACAAACAAGCATTGCAACGGTCGAAGCTTCAGGGGTGCTCCCAAAATTCGGGATAAAAATCAGCACGCCCAAAGAGAATGAGACAGCATAGAATGTGCAGACAACTTCTGGAAACCACCAAAGAGCCAAGAGGCAAAGGAAAGCTGTAAAATGGGCGGCGTCATTGTTCGGGATGAGCTCCAAATTTATTGATGCAAAAACAGTCCAGAGCTGCACAAAAAAGAGAGCAGGATCCAATGAGGATTCACCACCCAACTTCTCACAATACTCGTAGCATTCTTTCTGGCTGCAGTCTTTGTCATTCACCCTGCCACCACCCAAGTTGCCCAATTCTTTCCAGGCCTCTGCACACTTCTCATCTTCTTCCAGGCATCTCTCATAACACTCCCGCCTGCTGTAGTCCTTGAAGGCGTCCACATTATCATCAAAGTGGTAGCCCACCCTGCCTCCACCACAATCGCCCAACTTCTTCCAAGCCATTGCATTCTTCGAATCCAGCGACAAGGACCTCATGAAGCATTCCTTATCTGAACAGTCATCCTCACCCACCGTGCCACCACCCAACACGCCCAGCTTGCACCAAGCGTCGCCATTTTTTGGATCTCGCTTCAGGCACTCGCAGTAGCACTCTGCCTTGGAGTAATCAATAACGTCGCCAACCCGGCCACCTCCCACGTCGCCCAATTCCATCCAAGCCTCTGGATTGTCTCGGTCAAGGCTTAATGATTTGCCATAGCATTGCTTCTTTTCATACAGCTCAGCACCCACTGTGCCACCGCCCAACTTGCCCAATAGGTGCCAAGCCTCTGCATTTTTGTCATTCATCTCCAAGCACTTCACATAGCAGTCCTTTGATCTGTAGTCTTTCGCTCCCACCCGCCCACCGCCCTTGATGCCCACATTGAGCCAACCGTCTGCATTCTGTGGATTCAACTCCGGGGACAACACCAAGGATTTGGCAAAACACTGCTCCGCAGTGTAAGACTCGCCTCCCACCAAGCCGCCTCCCACAGTGCCCAACACGTGCCAAGCATCGCCATTGCCTTCCTCAAGCTCGACAGAGTGTTCATAGCATTCTTGCTGGCTCCAGTCTTTGTCATTGACCTTGCCACCCTTCAATTTGCCCAATTCTATCCAGACTTCAGCGCACTTCTCATTCTCCTCCAGGCATCTCTCGTAGCAATTTTGCTTGCTATAGTCAGTTTCGCTCCACCACTTCTGCAATCTGCCCCCTCCCAAGTCGCCCAACCTCTTCCAAGCCACTGCATTCTTCGAATCCAGCGACAAGGACTTGATGAAGCACTCTTTCGGCTGGAAGTCTTCGTCCCCCACTTTGCCTCCGCCCGATTCGCCAAACTTGCACCAAGCCTCCGGAATGATAGGATTCAGATTCAAGCACTCGCTGTAGCACATTGCAGCGGAGTGCCATCTGCCATCGGTGCAGCCACCACCCAAATCACCCATGATAACCCAAGCCCGTGGATTCTTTCGGTAAACCTTCCATGACATGCCATAGCATGCCTTCGTAAGCTCCCCTCATCCGATCCACTCTGCCACCCAAATGGCTCCAGTCTTTCCAAGCCACTGCTTCTTCTTGCTGCAAGCACTCCTCCTGGTCACACTCCTCAGCTCCTACAATGCCACTTCCGCAACTCATGTTCAATGAGAGCTGGGCCTCAGCATCTCTTATGCACTTTTGCCATTGCTTCAGAAACAGGTCAATTTCCACCAACTTCACCAGGTCGGCAGTCTCCAAAGGTGGACCCTGGTGGTTCTCCGGATCTCGCGGGATGGAGCCTTGGACTTCGAACATGGTCAACGGTGGTGCCAAGACTTCCTTTTCTTCCGGATATGCCGAAAGCCATGAGATGTCTTTCAGATCTGAATCACCTGGCCTGACGGTGATTTCAAACACGGTTCGAGGGCCCTTCCTCCCACAGAACTTGTCCATGACCCTGGGATCCGTAGCTGCCGATTTGAGGGTGTACCATGGGAAGGCTGTTCCAACAGCAAAGCGGCTGTGGAAGTCCTCAAAAGAATGCTTAATGCCTCGGTAGACATAGGGCTGGCCATCAAGTGGTTCGTAAGAGGGAAGTTGTTCCAAGGCCTCATCGATGAACTTGGTGAATCTCAAGGCCGCTTTGACTTCCTCAGATTCTGTGTCGATCCTCTCTTCCGAGTTGAGGATGTGGTTCACCGCAGCATAGATGGATGGTTCTCTGAGTGTGTAGGCATGAATTCCCAAGGCAAATTCCATGAAGTCCTCTCGGTCAGGGCTGGCTTTTGATGCGCATAAGTTGGGTTGGCAAACACAATCAGGCCGTCCTTCACACGCTATACATTTGTACAATTCGACACACTAGTCACTAGGTTTGGCACAGCTTAGCCTGTATAATTTGACTTTGCTTCCAACAAGCCCACCTTCTCTCGTGAAACCTGATGCCTCTCCCAGGCCCAATTCTGCCAGCTTCTCATTCTTCGTCCAAAACTTGATTATATATATATATATATAAATGGCTTATATAACTTGCTTGGTGGCAGTGTTGACAATCACAACCCTGCCTCTCCGAGCTCCATTTCTGATAGCTTCTCATTCTTTGTCCACTCCTCTCTCTTGCGCTCCACCTTCTCAAGGGCTTTGTTCAGATCGATGTCAAGCATGTCCAAGCCTTCCAAAGCTTCTTGCACTGTCTTGGGGCACTTCATCTCGGAAAGCAATTTCTTCAATTTGCCTTGCCATTCCTTATCGGTTCGGTCCGACATCTTGTAGGGGAGCTAGCGCAAGGAATGCGCGCAGCTCGATTGAGGTTTGTTGTGAGGTGTTTGCTCACATGACTTTCTTATTCTTTTGGAGTGTTGTTTCTGCCATCCGGCGAGTGTTGATGTTGGACCTGGGATGACCTGGGAACTTCTAGTTCTTGTTCGTCTGGAATTTAGCTTGTCAAGTAGTTAATCGTACTGTTAAGCATTCTTTCATCCTCTGACATCGGTCACCGGCTTGAGATATATCGAAAGCACACACCATTCAAAAGCATCCAACATACAACAGCAACCTCCCCAGAACAAGTATAGGACATCTCAAAGTTCCTTAATGCGCTTCAAACCAAACTTTCTGAAAGAAAAAACGCGCGCTGCCATGCTCAACCTGTTGCTTGCTTTCACATGGATTGAGCGCACCTTTGGGCGGTAACTCCTCAAGCAGGTTGGTGGCGATGGGCTCTTGGGTAGCTTTAGACAAAGCATTGGGCCAGAAAAGGGCCAGTCAGCTCCTCTTAGACACATGATTCAACTTTAATTAGCCACTGTGATCAGAGTGCTGTTGTTAAAAGTTGGAATTCAATTCAGCACCATTTGTGCAACGTTAGCATTGGCATGAAACCTATATTGTGTGCTTTGGCCATGGCGCGTGTCACGAGATCCTTCGACTAGGCACAACAAAACAACCTGAACAGAAAACGCAAGACCATCGGCATCGTATCTATCTCGGCCTATGGGCCTTTCATTGAACGACCACCCAAGTGCATCTTACATACGGTCATCATGCTGCCTGAGAAAAGCACTGGCCTCAAGAGATCTTAAAACTACAGTAAACGTGAAAGAAGGAACATTCACCTGAAATCATCTGAAAATACCTGAAGGAGATTCCAACTGGCAGGCAACCTACTACGTGACCATGATGGACTCCACCGCCTGTGTCAGTTCCTTCATCGGGCGCACAAATCGGACCGTCTGGCCGTCTGGCCCACAAATCCCTGGCATCCGGGTGTCCTGACCCAAGCTGCCAAACACCGAATTTGTGGATCCTGCGGGATGAAGCGTGACTGAGGCATTTGGTGGGGTCCCAGTGGATCCGATTTTTGACCCAGAAACCTCACCTTACACCAACTGCTTATCCTCCTGGTCCTACATCAATCACATTAACTTCAGCAACTTCTAAGCCCACACTGCCGGAGAGAAGTATTCTACTTCAGCCGCCCTCCGCGACTCAGCAATCCTTGCACCCACCCTCCCCTGTGCGACAGCTGCGCTGGACGTGCGTCCTGGCAGATCTCAGGTGCCCAATACACCGAGCCTGGTGACGCGGTGCGCAGTCCACTGGCCCTCCGCGGGTGAAAACACCATGCGATCACTTAAGGTGGGAACAAAAGCAAGAGAAGACCAGTCACTTCGCTCCTTTGAACTTCAGCAAAACCTCCTTCAGAGCTCGCTTTCGTGAAACAAAGGCTTAAGATGGCTTAAAGTGTTGATTCTGTTTGATTATATATTGGCATTCATTGGAAGTCGATTGGACCAAGTGTTCGCGGACACCATGCTCTCAAGCCCTTCAGGACCTGGAGACCTTCATGCCGTGAGACGGCACTCCAACACCCAAGGCTGGCCTCTCAGTCTGCAGCGATCGAAGGGTAGTCGTACGTAGTATAGGTATATACGTGGTAGTAGCTAGGCCAGCTGAGGCGGTTATCCGGCTTTTGTTTGGAACGCCCAAAAGACACAACGAAGTCTTATAATCATGATTAATGATTAATAAGGTATCCGAAGACTCTTCGTGTCATGTCTTCGCGGGAACTCAACTGTCCAAAGCGCTTGCAAGAAAGGCAAATTGGAGAAGCAGCGGCAACTGGGAAATGCTGATGTTTCAATTTCACCAGTTCGTTCAATCCAATCTCTCCAGCTTTTCGGACACCAACCTCCGCTTCAAAAGAAAAGGCTCGAACGCTGTGGGTCTGACCTGCGGGACACGAACGCTTTAGGATCACTGCCCATGTGCTGTGCTAATGGCAGGCCTGCAACACCAAATGAAACACATGCAAAAGTGAGCTTCTGACTGATAGTGCAGTAGGTCAAATGAACCTTCTGCAGCTGAAAGAACTTGAATCGAAAAGCTGGAAGCTTCTTTTTTGGGTCTGTATCGATGCAATGGTTGAAGCTTTGTGGAGATTGCACTTGCACATGTCAAAACTTGGCTCAAAGCTGAAGGTAACACCCAAAGTGACTTCCGACAGGAAAAGCCCATGCTGTGATGGCTTGGAGTTTTCATTCCCATGGCACAGCCTTCAACTAAGACACGCCCGATCATAATCATCCTCCTTCATCCTCCTCTCATTGTCTCCCATTCATCCTGCGATGGACTTACAAAAATGATGCACTGGTGGCTGCCTCATGCCATCTGGGCGAATGCCACGCCATGCTGGAGACTTGAACAAGGGCATTGCAGGCGGCGCGCAACCTCCGGGTTGAACGCAACCCGAGATCGAAGAGGCGGGGAGTTGCATGAGCTTCCAAGCTGCGCAAGCAACTCCCACGAAGGGTGCCACACTTCGCCTCACTCGGCGGGGCGGTTTTGAGGCCAAGCAAGGTCTGCCGACTGCACTTGACCTTTGTTGGCTCGAGCCAGGAGTGGCTAACTTAGAAGCCATGAAATAGCACTGCTGTGATGTAAAACTCTTGCCCAACATTGAGCCACCGCCGACCGCCCTATGTGAAGTTCTTCGAGTTGGATCCAAAGAATGCAGCTGTGTGGAATTGCCTGGGGGTGGTTGGCGGCGGCTCCGTACGGGGGAAGGACTACGGCGACGGTCAGAAGACATGCTCCGTGAAGTCTCTGGCAGCTCCGTGGGGC